ACGTAACTGGTGGATGTTAGCGACCTTGCGCTCCTCCACCTTCCGTTTGAGGATGCCCCACAGATGCTCAATAGGGTTTAGGTCTGGAGACATGCTTGGCCAGTCCATCACCTTTACCCTCAGCTTCTTTAGCAAGGCAGTGGTCATCTTCGAGGTGTGTTTGTGGTTGTTATGTTGGAATACTGCCCTGCGGCCCAGTCTCTGAAGGGAGGGGATCATGCTCTGCTTCAGTATGTCACAGTACATGTTGGCATTCATGGTTCCCTCAATGATCTGTAGCTCCCCAGTGCCAGCAGCACTCATGCAGTCCCAGACCATGACACTCCCACCACCATGCTTAACTGTAGGCAAGACACACTTGTCTTTGTACTCCTCACCTGGTTGCCGCCACACACGCGCTTGACACCATCTGAACCAAATAAGTTTATCTTGGTGTCATCAGACCACAGGGCATGGTTCCAGTAATCCATGTCCTTAGTCTGCTTGTCTTCAGCAAACTGCTTGCAGGCTTTCTTGTGCATAATCTTTAGAAGAGGCTTCCTTCTGAGATAACAGCCATGCAGACCAATTTGATGCAGTGTATGGTCTGAGCACTGACAGGGCTGCTCCCCCCCATCCCCCTTCAACCTCTGCAGCAATGCTGGCAGCACTCATATGTCTATTTCCCAGAGACAACCTCTGGATATGATGCTGAGCATGTGCACTCAACCTCTTTTGTCGACCATGGTGAGGCTGGTTCTGAGTGGAACCTGTCCTGTTAAACCGCTGTACCTTTTGAGGCTTTCCCTCCTTTGGAGGGTGTCAATAATGGTTTCCTACACAACTGTCAGGTCAGCAGTCTTTCCCATGATTGTGATTCCTACTGAATCAGACTGAGAGACCATTTAAAGGCTCAGGAACCCTTTGCAGGTGTTATGGCTTAATTAGCTGATTAGAGTGGGACACTTTGAGCCTAGAATATTGCACCTTTTCACAATATTCTAATTTTCTGAGATTGTGGATTTGGGGTTTTCATGAGCTGTAAGCCATAATCATCACAATTATGACAAATCAATGCTTGAACTATCTTGCTTTGCATGTAATGAATCTATCTCATTTATTAGTTTCACCTTTTAAGTTGCATTAAAAGTCTGGCAGTCCTTTTAAGTCTGGCAGTTAGTCTTTGACCTGTGATTACACAGTTCAAAAATATAATGCAGTGTATCCCTATAAGTAGCCAGATGTATGCAGACTCTGCTCAGGTTTGTTGGCCTGAAAGCAGAAAGTTTGTGTCCAGGTCTGCTTTCACTAACTTGAATGGATGTGGGCAAATATAGGCAGATAAATATCTGTTTATATCCAGTCACCCATAGGGATTAAATGGGTCCCTTTGTTAACGGCTGTAACATATGTGACATCCGTTTCCGTTCTGGTCTTATTCGGCAGGAGATCAGTCCAGGATCCCCTGCTGAGATTGAATGGAGGGTCACCTTTGTGAAAGTGGCCTAAAGCTGGCCATACATTATACAATTTTCTTGTTCACTTTCCTTCAGATTTACCTTCAATTATGTAGTGCAAGGGTCTGCCTGACTGCATACAAATTGAAAGTGTTCAGGTTTGACCTCATATTATATGGGTTTGGTAAATCTAAAGGAAAATTGTATAATATATGGCCAGTCTAAATGAGGCCCATAAAGCACTTTTAGGTCCATTTACTGTAATGTGAGAAAAATGGAAGGTTGTGGTATTATGAGGGAAAGACAGAGGTAACTAATTAAACCTGAAATTTTGTCAAGTGGGAATGGCTATCTGACCAGGCCTTGCTGAATCGGCTGAATTTCAATCAGTGATCTTATTTAGGTTATTTGATTATCATGCTACCTTATCTGTTAAACTGCTTGTCAGTTTTCTTGTCATTCTTATTCAGGAAGGTGTAAGCTTTGTTTTACATGTGTAGGTTTACAAAGTCACTATGTGATGTCACTCTTGCTAAAAAAAAATAAGGTTGCTCCTTCATACAACCTGTGAAGGCCACATTTCAATGAAGATTAACAAATCTAACTCTAATTTCGGCCAGAAACACTGGAGGACAAGTCTCTGGCGATAGTGTCTGCAAATGCCCCTTAGACATTAGATCCACAACCCGACCAGCAGTCTGTTGTCATTTTGCATATGAGAACCTTAGAGTAGAGCTCCACCCAAAAGGGGAAGCTCCATTTGTTTGCAACCCCCTCTCTACTGCCACATTTGGCACTTTTTTGAGGGTGAGGGCAGGTACCTGGTTTTGACAGGTACCCTTTCCCACTTCTAGCTAAGTTTGCCATGGTGAACTGAGTCGGACGTTCCTCCCCCCGCATGGGACCATTCACAAGGCACAGGGTGACCCATGTATATGCAGTAGGAAACTCGCATGGCTTCACTTAGTTTCCCGTACTTGCAATGCCAGCACCTCGAACCTGGAGGCTAATGAACTAGCTCAGGTGATGATGGCATTGGACCGTTGGACAGGTAAGTGTGCTTATATTAAAAGTCAGCTGCTATAGTATTAGTTTTTTTTGTTTTTTTTTCGGGGGGGGGGGGGGGGGGGGGCTGGACTCCTCTTTAAAGGAAAAGTTCATCTTTTTAACAAAAAATAATAAATGCATATTTTTTTTTGCAAGTAAAAGGGGCAGCGCAGTGGCTAAAATTTTAACACTTTTTCCTGGCGGTACTAGGGTCGTGGTTTCGAATCCCAACCACGGCACCACCTACCTGGAGCTTGCATGTTCTCCCTGTGCCTGCGTGGGTTTCCTCCGGGTACTCCGGTCTCCTCCCACACTCCAAAGACATGCTGGTAGATTAATTAGATCCTGTCTAAATTGGCCCTAGTATGTGTATGTATGAATGTACGTTTGGGACCTTAGATTGTACACCCCTTGAGGGTTAGGGACTGATGTGAATGTACAATATATGTGTGTGTGTGTGTGTGTGTGTGTGTGTGTAAAGTGCTGCGTAAATTGACAGCGCTATACAAGTACCTGTAGTAGTAGTAATAATAATAAAACAAATGTGTGTTTACTGTTTTTTTGTTTTAGGAGCCTGGAAAGCATTGCATCAGCTATCAGCAGATTACTGTTGCCATGCAGGACTCCCGCAGACTGTCAGTGTAATATGTCTGCTTTCCTTGTACAGGCAGGCAATTTTACACTGACAGGAAGAATCAATGAACTACTACAGCACCCAACAGCTCCGTGGTAGTTCATTGGGAGCTACAAGCTGACAGCCTTTGCAGAACTATGTGAATGAATGAATGAAGTGGCTGAGCATTTTTTTTTTTTTTTTTTAAATTGTGAAAGCTAACGGGGTAGAAGCTTTCACAATGGGTGATTGGGGGGGGGGTCAGTTCTACAGTAACATGCTGCTCCTTTAGTATGTAACATGTTACGAAAGGTGAACTTATCCTTTAAAATATAGGCTTACTTTTGACTAAACGTTCACAACCAACCCCCATCTTCACCTTAAATCTTTAAAGATGGTCCAAACTTCTCTTCAGCACACAGTGTCATTTAGCAATGTGTATGTGGGCATATACACAGTGGTAAATTACACTAACTCCATGTCCTCCTATTGCTAAACATTATGAGGACAGGAAATAGTATTCTGATTTTTTACATTCACTAAGAAACTCATGAAAAAGCTTTAGTTTTATTATAAATCCGTATTAAATATAGCAAATGTAGTTCCTAATGCCTGTAAAATTTAAAAAAAAAAAAAAAGCCTTCTTTGCAGATGTCATCTGAACAAAATGAAAGCTAGTGTCAAAATTCTCTGACTCTGCCTACACTATATTAATGCACAAATAATACACATTTGATGTTCAGTAAAGATTTTACAGGGCGCTATGAAACAGTTTTTTGATATTCATAATTTAATTTGATTTGCTCTTCTGAAATGGTTTTCTTTTTAGTCATGTGACTGGCACAGCACCAATCAGGGCTGGCCAGACACAGACTAAAGCAAAGCTCACGCTAGCTGTGTTAGCAGGCGTTAGGCGTTTGGGAAGCGGTTTTAACTCCTCATATCCAGTCAGGAGTTGAAGCCTCCCATTCAAGTCTAGGGTGAAGCTCCTTAAATGCCTGGTGGGCTTTTGCGAGGCGTTTGCAGAGCGTTAATACCATTAACTTCATTATAGGCGTTTGTGTTGCGGTTTTAATGCTTGTAAAACACCTATCAAACGCCTCAAAAACGCATATAGGGTGTTTGAGGAGCGTTAAAAATGCTTTCCAAACACCTGTCTAACGCCTGTCAAACACTATAGGGGTGTTTGGCAAGAGTTAGAAATTAGTCAAGTGTCAACGAGCCCTTATAATGTAGAATCCACAGAATCAGCAGAGTAATAGAAGCGCATCCCAAGGAGGCTTTCCTGCAGGAGGCAAAGAACAGGGAACACACAACAGTTCTGCAGGTATCAGGTACTTAGAAAAAAACAAAATAAAATGGCACGAGGTATATAATTTGTGAATGAATTATGGCAATTAACACTTCTATGATTAGTATCACTTCAGGTCAGTGGGGACTTGAAGTCAAAATAGAAACAGGTCAGATTTGTCTGTAGACCCAGGATAAGCGGGGGGGGGGCATGGGGGTTGGAGCAGTTTAGTGTCTTTGGCTATAGAGGTTAGTTTGACAGGTGAACATTTCATTAAAATTATTTTAAGGATAAACTAGCAAAGAAAAAGCTTTCTCCCATACTGTGTAGAGAACATACAGATAGCAGGTTCCCTTGGAGGAAGGGATTGATAAGTATGAGTTGGTGTTCTTTGTGAAATTCTATTCAAGCCTTTCTTGCTGTATAAATAAATGTGTAGCCAGCACTGCTGTTCTAGACATGCTGTACCCTTGGCTCCTTTTAACATCTATTTATTCATATTTTGTTTTTTTTTCTTGTAGACTGAGTTCAGTAGTGTGGGAATTGAACCTCCAGCAGAAAGCAATCTACACAAAGCAGCCGAGATTACGTGGAACTGTGTTGCTAACCAAGCATGGCTTTACAAGAGCCAAGAAAGGCTAGATCACTCAGCCTTGCAGGAATTGCTCAAATCTCCAATGATATCTCTAGAAAGTTTTTGGATCGCAGTGACCTGTCCAGGCTCTTACGAATTGCTTCAAATTTCCTTAAAGACCATACTCAGGTGTTGGTGGAACTGGACAGCTTCTTTCTTCATGATCCAAGTGCCAAAATAAAGTTGGTGTTTGTGGAAGACACTGTATTGGTGAAGAACATTTTTGTTATGTCCTCTTCTATGCAGGAACTTGCTCAAAGGTCACCTGAAAATCTTTACGTTGATCTACAGAGTAATATTGGCCCAGGGCTGAACTTATACAGTGTGTCTTGTGAGGATGAGTCTGGTTGGAACATGTGTGCTAGTTGCATATCAAAAACCAACAACCAAGACACAGTGAGGTTTCTTATTGTTTCTGTTTTGCAAAGCATACCAAAAATGAAAGCTCAGATCAAATCCATCACAATTCATCCAGAGATCGCCGATTTTAGAGACCTGAATAACCTCGTACCTAATGCCACTATCAAGCATTGCATGTCACTGATTGTCAGAGTGATAGAGGGGAAAATTGCTCATTTATCAATTCCCACCCAGTCACAGATAAAAATTGTTTTACAAGCCCTATGTTTTTCCCGTTCCTTAAAAATCTACAATCGCCATCTCAATGAATTGAAAGCTTTATGTCCTGTAGATGTATATCAGTACTACATTGACACATGGCATCCTAGCAGAAAAGAATGGTGTACAAAGGACAGCAAAAGAGTAAAAAATGAAAAATCATTATATACCTACTCTGGGGCTCTACAATACACACTTTCAACAAAAATGGGGATTTTGCCATCATTGTACCAGTGCCTCCGTGTCCTTTTGCTTGAGACCCTCGAGTTACAAAGTGTACCAGAAACCATATTCGAGGTTTATACTGACCTGGTGCCTGTTACTTCAACAGAAACAGAAACAGCAACTACTGCTACTACTAGTACTGATGCTTCTGAAGAGGTAAAGTTAAAGAAGTATTTCATGCTAAATGTACATCTTTGTAGAATTCATAGCGATCTGTTATCTCATACCTGAAAGATGTTGTGTTTTAAAACTAAAGAACACCAAGAAGTACTTTAGTGTACAGCTATGCCTTTTTTATATCGCAACTTTAGTAAAAAAAAAATTAAAATCTATTATATGTAACACTGAGGTGCATATCAATGTTCAGTGTTTAGAAGACTGAAATTTATTCTCCTCACATGACAGGTTTACACAAGCAAAGTTTTCTTGATCACTTAACATTAGAAGAATGCTGAGAGATGAAAGGTTTTGCAGGTCAGCAGAGCATGGGAAAGCTATTTAGAGATCCTAGACTGCTGATGTCATTTTTAAAGGATAAGTTCACCTTTCGTAACCTATTACTGTAGGACCGGCCCCCAAACCCTGAGATTCCACGTTGTAACAGCTAGCGGGGGATATTCTCCCCCCGCTAGCTGTCACAATTTCAAAAATGAGTTCTGTGAATGGGAAACTACAAGTCATTTGCGACTGTCAGTTGGTAGTTCTCAATAAACTACCACGGCGCTGTTGAGTGTTTGTGGTAGTTCATTGATTCCTCCTGTCAGTGTAAAACTGCCTGCCTATACAATGTACAGGCAGACAGAGCACACTGACAGTCTGCAGGAGCTCTGCATAGCTCCAGCAATCTGCTGACCGCTGGTGCAATGCTTTCCAGGCTCCTAAAACATAAACTAGTAAATGCACGTTTTTTTTTTTTCCCCCTGAAAAAATTTTTAATTTTTGTTAATAGTTGAACTTATCCTGTAAATCAGTGGTTCTCAACCTGTGGGTCGCGACCCCTTTTGGGGTCGAACGACCCTTTCACAGGGGTCCCCTAAGACCATCAGAAAACACATATTTCCGATGTGTAGAAAGCAGCTGCTGTGTTGAAAGCAGCTACTCTGTTTAAAAACAGCTACTGTGTTGAAAGCAGCAGTATTGGAGGTAAAAGGAAACTCCTGAATTATGATTACTGGGTAAATAATTTTATGGTTGGGGGTCACCACAACATGAGGAACTGTATTAAAGGGTCACGGCATTAGGAAGGTTGAGAACCACTGCTGTAAATTATTTATCAGTACCTGGTGTAGCTTTTATAGTACTTTTTTGACTGTGTAGGAGACTGAAAGCAGAAGTACTAAAGGTGATCAGGAGGCACTACACCAGACATGCACAGGGTGGGCAGTGCAGGAGAGAAGAGGGGCTCGATAGGGAAGGCATGGGTAGAGGCCTCAAAAGACTTGATGGGGAAAGTACAGGTATATTCTCATCTATATACAAGTAGTGTATAAACCAAACCTAATTATTGTTGAGCTCAGCCACTACGTGATTACCCCTTACACCACAAAAAAAAAATCATCAAACGTATAAATATAAGATTGCATATGAATCCGTAATTAAACATAAGGTTGCTGCGTGCACCATAAAGTGGTTTCACTCCACCCCTCAGTAAATAATGTCACAAAAGATGACACGCAACCCACAAACCTTTAATATAAAATGATAATGATGATTGTGGATTTTAATACCATTTTATAGTGAAGGTTTGTGGGTTGCGTGGCATCTTTTGCTGAATTATATGCAAGTAGTATGTGTAAGGGCATTAGGTGAATGATTTGCCTGCTTCTGCATCTGAAAAACATGGTGCCTTTGAGGAAACTGTGGACCTAGAAAATGTGTTCATGGACATACTCAGCTGGGCCATATTCATGTGCGAGAATCATTTTTATTACTAAAAAATAGCATGTTTATATCACATATAATTACTAAAAGACTGCTATTCACTAAACTTCTGCTTTAAAATGGAAGTCCTTGTGTGTATTATAAATCCAAAAACCAAGGTATTTCCATTCTCTTAACAACACATTTTTGTTTTAACTTTTTTATTCTTTACAATTTGCTTTATTAGGCAGGGCATGCTGATTGGCTCTGTCAAAGTACCTTTCCCTGTGTAAGACTGTTTGTAAATAATGCAGTTTGATACCTGTGATATCATAGTGATTACATGATTGAAGGCCATGCTGTTTGGTTCCAGTTGCTGCGTCTCATGTGGTCACTGTCAGATAAGTGATGTCACAGAACTAGCAGCCAGCACGGGTACTAGCTGCTAGTTCTTTTGAGGATGCTTATTAGCCTTTCCTTAACATGAGATAATGTGCCATTGTGAATGTTATTTCGGATTAGGGAGAATAGATGGGATTAGTATTCATTTAAAGTGTCCCTTTCATTTTGAGGTCTAAACTAAAGTTCAGACAGCTTGGGAAAGGAGATGCTGTATACTTACCTTTTGGCAACACAGTGTCTTAAAACTTGCTGACTATTGCAGGTATCCAATATTTCCCTGTATGTTGAATACCTGGTCCTCTGTTACATTCTGTGTTTCCTTCCTTTGGCTTGTATGTCCTGCATTTACAGCAAGAGGAAGCTCAGTGCATGGTGAAGGAGCAGGTGATCACTACTCTGGAAGTCTTGGATATGAAGTTAGAGAAGTGAAGACACAGGATGATACTGCAGTGCCCTTGTGCAATCATTGGGGATTGCACATTTCTACAGACAACCCCTCCATGTTTAGCTACAGTGTAGAGAGCATGTCTCTAGAGCAGGACAAATGAATTCATAGGGGATCCCTCTCAATGTGTGTTCTACTTTTTGTGCTAGGAAATCTGGAATGATATGGGCTAGACTTACTTGAAGTAGTGTTGAAGTAGAACTATAAGCAAAACTTTCATTTTGGATAGAGTAATGGAGGGTTATAACTAGTGGTGCCGAAACTGATACTGAAAATTCAGAATGCATGTGACTGAAACCGAAATGTCTGCGTATGTGGAGGCTCAACTTTTTTTTTTTTAACTTTAATGTGTATGTTTATTTTTTGTTAAGTTATGATTTTGCTATCACATAGGGGACCAATTGTCCCCTATGTGATGGCATATGAGTGACAGGCCCTCTTTGTAGGGGGTGGGGGGAGGCAGTGTTTTTGAAAGGAGGGGGCCAGAGAGGAGCAGTGTATATAATGAGGAGCAGTGTATACACTCAGGCTCACTCACTGGCTGTCCCTATGTCACTGCCGATTTTTAAATGCAATTGCCGGATTTTTTTCTTCACTATAGCTCCAATAATGAGCTGTCATCCTCTCCTCCAATAAGGGAAACTAAGGGGCGGGGTCACTGGGTGACCCCGCCCTTTAGCGGAGGAGAGTATGACAGCTCATTCTCCTCTGCTAAGGTAAACTAAGGGGCGGGGTCACCCAGTAACATTACCCAGTGACCGCACCCCTTAGTTTCCCTTAGCGGAGGACAGGATGACAGATTCTCTTGGAGCTATAGCAAAGAAAAAAGCCGGTAATTGCATTTAAGAACAATACCGGTTTTTAAATGTAATTACCAGCTTTTTATTTTCCCTTCACTATCCCTCCTAGAATGAGCTGTCATCCTGTCTGCTAAGGGGCGTGGTCACCCAGTGACATTACTCAGTGACCCCACCCCTTTGTTTCCCTTAGCAGAGGAGAGGATGACAGCTCATAGTGAGGAGAAAAAAAAAACACACCCCGGTAATTACATTTAAAATCTGGCAGTGACATTTAGCGGTATCTCACTATGTACACTGCACCTCTCCTGCCATTCTCTGCTGCACCCCCCTCCCCCGCCATATGCAGTACAAACAGTCCCCTATCAGTACCTGTATTGGCTAAAATTTTTCTATAGGGCTATTGTCAGCCGATTTTGTTTCAGCCGCCAAAATTTCAGTGCGTCCCTAGTTATAACCCGTTTTTTTTTTTTTTTTTTTGGCATTGGAGTCCTAATTTCCCTTCCCTGCAGAAACTTCCCTTCCTGTCCGCTAGCCAAACAGGAAGTGAGCGGAAATCCCTGCAAATTAAGGAATGTCCTTGAGGACCCCCACGTCACCAGAACTAGTGTCCTTATTGGAAGATTTTCCCTCTCACTTTTCTGGGGACAACCCACAATTTGAGATTTTCTTTTACTTTCACTTTCAATGATCATGGTAAATAGGACAAACAGAGAGGGTGAATCTCCCTAATGGGGGTACAGACAACAATAAAAACTTGCAAGTGTTCTTAATCCATCTCCACTCTTTCCAGAATTAAAAAAAAAGTTATACTTTAAACCCAAAAGCAAACATGATGCCATTTCTTAGATGTGATGTCTGCATTCGTGTTTCTTTAGGCTTTCCTTTATATTCATCTGCTGATCCAGCCAGTAAGTCTGTTTTTTTCAAAAGAACAAGTTCTCTTCCAGATGTATCAGTTAACAGGGATGAGACAAATTATTTTATAATGACGGGTGCTTAAAATTATCAGCTCTTACTTATTCATGTAAAACTTTTATCCCAAAAGGAAAAGAAATGTTTGCTGTAACTGATTATAAAGTTTGAGCCGGAGTTTGGCTTCAATTTGTTTTTGTATTTAAATTAGCTAGTACATTTAACACTACTATGCAGTATGGGCTTGTTCACATCATAGAAACGCAGTCCGAATACATTCAAGATGCATTTCTGCATGTGCGTTTTTGATGTGTTTTGGTGCATTTTCCCCTCTTCGTTTTTTTTATTATATAAATTAGGACATGTACGCTCTGCTGTGTATAGGTGCAGTGCAGAAAAAATGCAGCATGTTTTCTTTTTTTTTTTTTTTTCTGGAACGCACTGGAACTTACCACATTGGTATGAACTATGCCATTGGAAACCTACTATCCATTGTGTTTTTGATGCAGAAAAAACCCCTCACTGCATTGCATGTGATGTGATGTGAACTGGCCCTTAGTGTGCAGGTTTCAGAGAAACTGATTGTAAACAAAGCAGTGTTAACACTGATCTGGATTACTATGATGGCTGACAAAACATTAGGAAAAGAATAGAACTGACAGGGTAAATTTGCAAAGTTGTCTCGTGTTCCTGCACATAGTGAAAAAGCTAACCCATTTTAAAAGTACAACTGTCCTTACAGATTAAGCATTTTAATTCACTGTTCTGATCATTTTTAGCAGGTTTGTGGAGAAGAAAAAAATGAACTGGAGCAAATGGAGTTTTACAGTTGGGATGATTTTCAGTCCTTTCTAAACATTTGGTGTGAAGAACAGAAAATCCTATTTGTCATTCGCAATTCTGTGCCCTTGAGCAGTGAAGATATGAGCCCTGAGTTAGTGCAAACTCTGAAGTACAGTATGGTGAACCTTGGTTGCAGCAGCTATACCAGGTAACGTGGTTCTTGATATTAAGGTGACACTAAAGCATTGTTTTTTTTTTCTTGTAGTGATTTTGCACAGAGCAGCCTCAATCCTCTTCTTCTCAGATCCACTACAGTGCTTTTGGCTCCTCACCATCAAGCAGTGTCCCAGGGAAAGCCACTTGCCCTGGTGGCACTGCTGTGTACTCTTCCCCAAGCCTCTGCTCTGTGTCCATAATACACACAGAGCTGCAGCTCAGTCCTGCCCCCTTGTTCTCTCCTCATTGGCTAGGATTGACAGCAGGGGGAGCCGGTGCGCTCCCGTTGCTGTATCCACAAATGAGGAGGAAGAGTCTCCAGACGGCAGAGGCTGTTCAGAACGGCACTGGATTGGAGGGGACTCTGGTAAGGATGGGGGGGGGGGGGGGGGGTGCTGCACACAGAAGGTTTTTTACCTTCATGCATAGAATACATAAAGGTTAAACCATGAGCCTTTAGAAGCACTTTAAAAGTGATTGTAATTAACCACTTGCTTCTTGTATGCCTCCAGTGTCCACATTTCCCGTCTTTGCTCCTCCTACCTTGAAATCTTGCTGTTCGTGATATGGCAAGGAAAGTCTCAGTCCTTTCTCTGGAGTCTCCTTAAAATGAATTCAAAGAAAGAAAAAAAAAAAAGGAAGGAATAGAGCAAGTGACGTAATTGCTGTATGTGGTCAGATCTTTAAACGAAAGAGATTGTTTTCTGAAGTCCTAAAACATCTGCCAACAGTTTTTAATTGATGTCTCTTTTAAAGAGAACCTTTTAAGCAGCGTGGATGAAGGGACGTTCCCTGCTGGCTTTTGTATTTAGACAGCTGCAGCACTTGTGGCTGTTTAAGTAGTCGAACAGTGAGTGCTTCTGATAGGATGCAGTCACTGTCTAGTCTATACTTTTTTTTACTGGGCTCCTTCACTGTTTTTTGGTCGCCATTTTTGTGGCGTTGGGGGGTTGGTGCCACATCTCGAGTTTTCGCAGATGCAGTAGCAATTGGATGAAATTAAAGCTTTGTGTAGCCATCTTTAGGCTGTTTTCCAAGTCTAAAGGTTATGATTACCTGAATTGTTTGCCAGGAGATGCCCTTCACTTACAGGCTACTTGTAATCAGCCTTAGGGCAAGTTGTGCACATTATGATCTAAATGTAAAAAAGCACATAAGTGGTATAGTAAAGCCACCTGATCTGTGTGAAAAAGAAACTAATTGTGGTTTCAAAATATTGCTTCTATACATTTCTTTAACATTTTGTTCTTGCTGGTTCAGGTCATACAAGGGTGCAGTGTGGTTTGTATTTATTTATTTATTTTTTTAACACAGACATTATTAGGTTGTATCAATTTATTTTCCGTTATGTCCTTTTAACAGAAAGCGCTGCCCAGCTACTATTCAGCTGCGACTGGGTCCAGAAATGGATAAACTAATAATCACGAAGACTGACCTCCAGCATAGTCATGATTCAGAGATAGACCTTCCATCTCGTTTTACAAGAAAACCTGAATCCTTTGTGGAAGCCCCAGCAACGTTGTTTTTTGAGATCTCTGATAAATTCATGGACAGAACTGATTTGACAAAGCTTCTACGTTTACACTTCCCATTTGGCAGGGAATCACAATTTCTGGATGAACTGGAATCCCTTTTTAATACCGATCCTGGTGCAAAGGTGAAATTGGCTTATGCCGATGAAAAGTTTACAATGAGAAATCTCTTCTTGATGACAACTGGCATGCAGAATTTGCTCCAGAATTTTTCAGAAAGCCTGTTTATTGCCCACCTTCCAAGTCTAAATCAGGAATATGCTTTGTATTCTGTCTTGTGTCAAGATGAGAATTTTGCCTGGAGAGTCTGTGCTCATTGTATTGCCAGGAAAAACTCCACAGACCCCTTACAGTTTGTTCTGCTTTCTCTTTTACATGTCCACCCTAATTTGAACACGCAATTAAAGTGTTTGACACTGAGCCCAGACATTCAGAACTGTTCAGATACACAGGCTGTGCTCCCCAATGTCATAATAAAGCATTGCTTACCGTTTGTGTTTGAATTCATGCATCGTAAAATCTCCTTCTTAAGTCAGATGGAGCAGTCTCAGATTAAAAACTTGCTTGCCAACCTCGCTCAAGCTTCCTCAACTGACAATTACACACAGTACCTTAGTGACTTGAAGTCTGCCTGTCCTGATGAAGTGTTTCAGTACTATTTTGACAACTTTCATCCATGTTGGAATTCATGGTCTGGGAAGGACAGCCAAACAATTGATGCAGAAAACTCTATTTGTGATTTTGTGAAATTCTTTCACCAAGAATTAAGGACACATTTGGGAACAATGCCTTCTTTAAGCCAATGCCTGCATGCCATACTCACTGAAGATCAGGCACATGATCAGGAGCCCTCAGAATCAAGCAATACATGCATGATGGATGAAAGCACTTCTACCTGTCAAACAGATACTACAAGTGTACTGAACACACAGGAGCAAGATGGTGTAAGCACGGAGATAATTACTACTGAAGTGCCTAATAAGGTAATATTTTAGCTCTTTTATTGCTGCTAACTTTAGTATTAACCACTTGACCTCTGAAAGATTTACCCCCCTCCTTCCTGACCAGGCCATTTTTGGTGATTCGCACTGCGGTTTTTTAACTGATAATTGCGCGGTCATGCAACACTGTACCCAAATTAAATTTATGCCATTTTTCCACAAATAGAGCTCTCTTTTGATGATATTTGATCAACACTGCGTTTATTTTTTGCGCTATTAACAAAAAAAAAAGTTTTTTTTTTTTTTCAAATTTCTGTTTTAAAACCTATCCAATCAAATTTCTTTATAAATGTAGGCCTATATGCATTCTGCTATATGTTTTTGCTAAAAAGAAATCCCAATAAGCGTGTATTAATTTGTTTGCACAGAAGTTATAGCGTCCTACAAATGGTGGTATACAGTGCCTTGAAAAAGTATTCATACCCCTTGAAATTTTCCACATTTTGTCATGTTACATCCTAAAACGTAAATGTATTTTATTTGGATTTTGTGATAAACCGACACAAATGGCACATATTGTGAAGTGAAAGGAAAATGATAAATGGTTTTCAAAGTTTTTTACAGATATGTGAAAAGTGTGGTGTGCATTTGTATTCAGCCCCCCCCGGAGTCAATACTTTGTAGGACCACCTTTCGCTGCAATTACAGCTGCAAGTCTTTTTGGGGATGTCTCTACCAGCTTTGCACATCTAGAGAGTGAAATTTTTGCCCATTCTTCTTTGCAAAATAGCGCAAGCTCTGTCAGATTGGATGGAGAGCGTCTGTAAACAGCAAATTTCAAGTCTTGCGACAGATTCTCAATTGGATTTAGGTCTGGACTTTGACTGGGCCATTCTAATGCATGAATATGGTTTGATCTAAACCATTCCATTGTAGATCTGGTTGTATGTTTAGGGTCGTTGTCCTGCTGGAAGGTGAACTTCTGCCCCGGTCTCAAGTCTTTTGAAGATTCTAACAGGTTTTCTTCTAAGATTGCTCAGTATTTGGCTCCATCCATCTTCCCATCAACTCTGACCAGCTTCCCTGTCCCTGCTGAAGAAAATTGTCCCAACAACATGATGCTGCCACCACCATGTTTCACAGTGCACATGGTGTGTTCAGGGTGATGTTAGTTTACCACCACACATAGCGTTTTGCTTTTAGACAAAAAAAAGTTAAATTTTGGCCTCATCTGACCAGAGCACGACCTTCCACATGTTTGCTGTGTCCCCATGGTTTCTTGCAAACGGAAAATGGGACTTCTTATGGCTTTCTTTCAACAATGGCTTTCTTCTTGCCACTCTTCCATAAAGGCCAGATTTGTGGAGTGCACAACTAATAGTTATCCTGTTGACAGATTCTCCCACCTGAGCTGTTGATCTCTGCAGCTCCTCCAGAGTTACCATGGGCCTCTTGGCTGCTTCTCTGATTAATGCTCTCCTTGCCCGGCCTGTCAGTTTAGGTGGACGGCCATGTCTTGGTAGGTTTGCAGTTGTGTCATACTCTTTCCATTTTCGGATGATGGATTGAACAGTGCTCCATGAGATGTTCAAAGCTTGGGGTATTTTTTTATAACCTAACCCTGCTTTAAACTTAACTTTATCCCTGAACTGTCTGGTATGCTCCTTGGCCTTCATGATGCTGTTTGTTCATTAATGTTCTCTAACAAACCTCTGAGGGCTTCACAAAACAGCTGTATTTACACACAGGTGGACTCTATTTACTAGTTAGGTGACTTCTGAAGGCAATTGGTTCCACTAGATTTTAGTTAGGGATATCAGAGTAAAGGGGGCTGAATACAAATGCACACCACACTTTTCAGATATTTATTTTTAAAAAAATTTTAAAACCATTTATCATTTTCCTTCCACTTCACAATATGTGCCACTTTGTGTTGGTCTATCACATAAAGTCCCAATAAAATACATTTACGTTTTAGGTTGTAACATGACAAAATGTGTAAAATTTCAAGGGGTATGAATACTTTTTCAAGGCAGTGTATATACTGGAATTTTTATACTAGTAATGGCGGCGACCAGCGACTTATAGTGGGACTGCAATATTGTGGTGGACACTTTGTGGGATCTAGTGATGCTTATACAGTGATCAGTGCTAAAAATATGCACTGACACACTGTACTAATGACACTGGTTAGGAAGGGGGTTAAAAATCTAGGGGTGATTTAAAGGATTAACTGTGTGCCTAGCTAGTGCTTTTGTGTAAACTGTGTGCTGCTTTTAATAAGGGAAGAGATGGATCTTATTCTCTGCTTTGCAGGGACACACTTTTCATAACTGCTCTCCTGTCAAAACTGAGCTCTGCCTTGTTTACATAGGCAGAGCTCAGTTCTGTCTCTCTCCCTGACGATCAGCATGCGTGCCCCCTATTCGGAAATGCAGGATTACGTTTATATACATGATTCAGTACAGGAGGACTGCCCTGTAGCAGTATATTCGTTATGCAGCAGTTCTAAACTGGCTAAAGTCATTGTAAAGGGAAAATTTTTTTGATTTTGAAATAACAAACATTTTCTATTTACATACGCTGTAAATTGTTTTTGCACAGAGCAACCCGATCCTCCTCTTCTCAGGTCCTCCACTGGTACTCTTAGCTCCTCTCCGTGCAGCGTGACCCCATTGCAAGCTACTTGCTATGGGGGTACTGATCGATCCATGCCCTATGTGTCTATTGAGTGCACCATAGCCCCACCTTCACACCCCCCTCACTCTTTTTAACCACTTCAATACTGTGCCCTTATACCTCCTTCCTGCCCAGGCCAATTTTCAGCTTTCAGCACTGTTGCACTTTGAATGACAATTGAGCAGTCATGCAACACTGTAACCATATGGAATTTTTATAATTGTTTTCACACAAATAGAGCTTTCTTTTGGTAGCATTTAATCACCACTGAATTTTTTAGTTTTTTGTTAAATAAAACAAAACACACCTTAAACTTTTGAAAAAAAGCACTTTTCTTTGTTATAAAATTTTGAAAATAACATTTCTTCATAAATTTAGGTCAAAATGTATTCTGCTACTTTCTTTGGTGAATTATTGAATTTGTATTTTTTTCAAATATTTCACAATTTTATTTTTCAGCACACTGTAACCAAAGCAATACAATGTTACCATAGTAACATTGAACTACTTTGGGCAAGTGATCAGGATTTTTTTTTAACACATTATGATTGCTAATACCAATGTATTTCATTGATATTTGCAATCATTGTTACTGAATGAAACTGATTAATTCAGTCTTTTGTTGTGATTAGCTGTGATTTGGTAAACCTGATCACATGATACAGATGGGCTGTGATTGGCCCTGTCTGTGTCATGTGATTGCCTTGACCAGTCACAGCTAACATAATTGTATACAGTGGATGGCATGACAGGGAGCCATCCATTGTATACAATTGTCATGTGATCTGCTGTGATTGGTCACATGACACTGGCAATGGGCCGGTGTAGTGAAATGTCATCGGCTGTGTCCCGTGGACACAGCCGGTGACAGATTGCGCCACTGCGTGGCCCCATGGCTGCGTGAGCGGCTCGTTTTGACAGGACGTCATATGATGCCCAGTCATAATGGCAAGTGTCTCGCCCGGCTGTCCATCTGCAATAGGCCGGGCGGAGGGAAGGTGTTAAAAGACGTATGGGCTGGAAAAAAAAAAACATACTCACCTACATGGATGCAGCAACGATCAGATGCTGCATCTGTCCCCCGCCAGCTCTGCACAGAGAACTGAGCATTCAGAGACCATGAATCCTCAGTTCTCCCCCCTCTGCTTCAAGCAGAGAGCTGGAACTGTCAGTCTCTGGGTCTTTGCTTTGAAGGTGTTCTATGCATGAAGGGAAAAAAGTTTCTCTGTGCAAATTCCCCCAGCCCCCCTAATACTCACCTAAGCCTCCTCTCGATCCAGCAATGTGCACTGGAATCTTGGCTAGCCCGAGACTCCCTCTCCTCACTGGCTGGGAGAGAAGCGGGAAGCATTGGCTCCTGTTGCTCTCAATCACAGCTAATGACCCAATGAGGAGAGAGGGGTAGGGCCGAGCCGTGGCTGCATGTGTGAATGGACACATAGTAGTGGCACAGGAGCGTGCCTGCTTGGGTGCCCCTTGCTGGGGGGGGCACCCGACAGGAGGGAGAGGCCAGGAGCGCTGGCAGGGGACCCGAGAAGAGGAGGATCAGGGCTTCTCTATGCAAAACCATTGCACAGAGCAGGTAAGTATGACATGTTTGTTATTTAAAAAAAAATATGCCTTTAGCATCACTTTAATGCATGGAATGCATTAAGGTACAAAAAAAAAAAACCTCACGCCTGTAGAACCACTTTAATACTACTTTCCTAATTCATGGGGACAATATTTTCGTTCCCTCCCTCTCAATTACCTTCCATCCTTGCATATTACTTCCCAATTAAACAGTAACTCCTGACAACAGGCAGCAACATTTAGCTGCTAGTGTAGAATGCACTGACACTACACTGATTTAGGTATTATGTTGGCAGTGGGCTCTGAGAGGAGTTTGTTCACTTTTCTGCATTTTCACAAGCTCAGATTTGGGGCCATGTAGAGGAGGATACAGGCAACCAATGGGTTTAGCTAGACAGCCAGCTATGTACAAAATATGAATGCCAGGAGAGAAAATAACTATAATCCATTGAATGGGCTATTCTAACTGAATTAGTTTAAATACAACATTTGCACACAGTATTGGCATGTACCTAGTGGTTCACCTTTTGCAGTCACATTTGTGTGGTCCATAACATTGGTGGCTCTGCCTATTTCAGAGGGAGAGCTCAGCTGATGCATGAATCATTTTTGGAGCACTTTTTTGCCTTTTTTTTTTTATTGGCAAAACACTAAAGATATGACTTGAGGATTGATAGCTGTGAACATTTAACTGTTGGGTTATTTTTTATACAGCTTTTAAGGACTTGTATTGCAGATTGTATTGTCATTCTGTTTAATTTTATGAGTGAGGTATGAGCACACAGCGTGTTGTATATTTGGCATTTATTCATACTGGCACTTTGTGTTTAGCTTTTCTAAATGTAGAAGTCATTTAGGAAGTATAACCCTGCGCTTCCCAGATCACTTTCTTGTGTTTAGATGTTCTTGCTTTAAAATGGGTTTTTACAATGTTTAGCGTGTAATCAGATCCTGAAGGCACAGAATTGAATTTTCTTTAAATGCAGCTAAACTGAACACAACTAAATGCATGTAAAATGCTCAATGTGAATGATACCATTAAAAAAATATTTCTTACATTTTAGTGGTGCACCGAAATGAAAATTCCAGTGCCAAAACAAATACCAAAAATTCAGAATGCACATGGCCGAAAACAGAAATGTCTGCATATGTGGGGGTGGGGAGGCTCCAATTTTTTTTTTCCTATTTTAATGTATATTTTTATTTTTTTAACATGATTTTATTGCTATCACGTAGGGGACCATAGTGTATGCAAGGAGAGGAGCAGTGTATACAGAGAGGCTCCCTCACTGGCTGTCCCTATATGTCAATACCGTTTTTGATTTGTAATTGCCAGCTTTTTTTCTTCACTATAGCTCCAAGAATGAGCGGTCGCTCTCCCCAAAGCTAAAGGAAACAAAGGGGCGGGGTCACTGGGTGACCCCACCCCTTTGTTTCCTTTAGCCCTTCGAGAATGACAGCTCCTTCTCTGAGCTATAGTGAAGAACAAAAAAGCCGGTAATTACATTTAAAAACAGGCACTGACATAGGCAGCCAGTGACCGTATACACTGCTCCTCTCCTGTCTTTCTCCACCGACACCTCCTCTCACATCTGCAGTACACAGTCCCCTGTATCGGCTACATTTTTCCTTTCGGCACATTGCCGATAGGGCTATTTTTGGCCGAAATGTTTCGGTGGCCGAAATTTCGGTGAATCCCTAATTTTTATATACATTTAGAAATGTCCTTTAAATGCAGATTTGATGCCATTGTGAATGAGACCTTAGTTGTTGAAATCTAGTGGTGGTCGCTGTTATAAGCAATCATTTTCATAAATGGCAGTACAGTGGAGTTAAATTAAAAAGCATACATTTTATGCAGAAGGGGGTTTTGTGGTTTATTTGCTGCTCCATTCCATGAAAGGCATTGTGCTTGAGACCCCAAAAAACCTACTTCAAATGCCAGAAGTCCCTGAACATTTTTTTTTTTTTCACAGGATTATGAAGACATTGCAAATATGCAATTAAATGGCAGGGAGTTTCAGAGCTGGGATGACTTTTGCGCTTTCCTGCAAGAATGGAGTAAAGAAAAGTACATTCTGCATTCATCTTCAATCATAGAGGAGGGCAGTAATGAAGAACCCGACATTCAAAGCATTTCCGAAATATTGAAGTACAGCTGGGCACAACTTTCCTGCAGTTGGTATGACAAAACTACAGTTGGTATGGTGTGATAATTTCCTCAGAGCTGAAATATCATAAATGAGATATCAGCCCTGCCAAACAGAAGAGCAAAGTGCATATTTTTCACTGTATGTACACTGCATTCTACTTTAATATTTTATGCTGTTGATGTGAAAAGCAAAATTGTCCTCATCTGAGCAGGAGACATCATGGGATGTAACAATATTCATTATACAATGTGTGTGTAGTGTATGTTATTAAAAGCATGCTGGATTTTATCACCACATTAGAATGCTCCTGTATAACTTGGTGTTACTAAACCTACAAGAGTAAAATCAGTCTGGATATGCAGTAAAGCATGCTTGTTATACTCACTGTGGAACCCAAGGGGGTAATCCTCTGCTTTGTGTACAAACGCTGTTTGATCCTGACTTCTCTGATCCTCCCCTTCTTCCAGTGTCTCCCTCTTATCTCCTGATAAAACATATTGTGTGGAGACAATTTTTTTTTTCTGCTCCTAGATGCTGCAGTTCAAAAAACGCTAATAGCTTACAGTAGAGTGTATGGACATATAGAAGAACACTATTTTGTATCTAGGAGCAGGAAAAAAAATTATAATAGCTTCTAGGAGCTTAAATACAATATTGTGCATGGAGCTGTAAAGTGTCTAAAGCGCTTACAAGCTTTTAGGCATGTTTACAGGTGTCAAGAGCTTGGATAATAATTTCATTGGCCATAATAATAATTTATTTTGGTTATTAATTGAATAAACCCTCAAGTGCTAAACACACCAAGCACTTAGACCCGTTTAGGGGTGTTTAGCAGCATCCAGCCATTTTTCTGCCAAAACTCTGCTTCTTCTGTTTGCACGGACGTTTTTTTTTTTTTTACTGCCTCTAAAAGCTCCTGCCACTAAATGCTGCTAAAAGCCCATGTGTGCATAGACACCTAGGCTAACATGCAGGGCAGTTTAGAGGCTGGAAAAAAAAATATGCCTGATGCCCCTATAAGCAAAATTATCTAGTGCGCATGTGGGCTAAAAGTAAATTGGTGGTATGGGACTGGGTCTGCAAGGTAGTGTTAGCCCTGCAATTATGCAAACACCATCAGAATTCAGGCCAGTCAACCACAGCTCAAGGAAGAATGGCAGCCCCAGGCTGTAAATGTGACATTTAATCACAAAATAGTGGAGCTCAAGAGGTTCAAGACTGGTCATTGTGCACCAGTGACTACTGACTGACCTCTGCATAGCTCAAGACTGGAAAGAATTAATATCCATGAGAAGAGGCAGTGCCCCCTCACAGTCACACAGGATAAAAAGCAGAGCGTGGTAGCACAGAGCCAGTGTTAAGCATGGCGTACAAGCAGATAACAGAGATAGTTGAGTGAGTGGTGTGGATTCTACTACTTACACATAATGGCATTCTCCACAAGAAGTGATTGATGCAGAATGGGTGTTTCTCCTTTGAACAGAGAGTGACATGGTAACATGCCTTGTCTAGAGGAGGAGAAAGTAACTTTACTTAGTGATCCATTTAAGAAGGATAGGATTGATGTATGTTTGATGAGAGGAGCATAGGAATGGCTCGTGTATGCGGTGTGTAGGGGGCTGCACTGTCACTCCACTTAACCTACTATGGGCAGCTCAGTGGTTAATTGGTTAGCACTTCCGCCTGGCAGTACTAGGGTCGTTGGTTTGAATCCCAACCACGGCACCACCTGCCTGGAGTTTGGATGTTCTCCCTGTGCCTGCGTGGGTTTCCTCCGGGTACTCCGGTTTCCTTCCACACTCCAAAGACATGCTGGTAGGTTAATTGGCTCCTGTCTAAATTGGTCCTAGTATGTGTATGTATGAATGTGAGTTAGGGACCTTAGATTGTACACCCCTTGAGGGTTAGGGACTGATGTGAATGTACAATATATATGTGTGTGTAAAGTGCTGCGTAAATTGACAGCGCTATACAAGTACCTGTAGTAGTAGTAATAATAAAAGAAATGTGCGTTTACTGTTTTTTTTGGTTTGTTTTAGGAGCCTGGAAAGCATTGCATCAGCTATCGGCAGATTACTGTTGCCATGCAGGACTCCTGCAGACTGTCAGTGTAATATGTCTGCTTTCCTTGTACAGGCAGGCAATTTTACACTGACACGAAGAATCTATGAACTACTACAGCACCCAACAGCACCGTGGTAGTTATGTAAAGTGCTGTGTAAATTGACAGCGCTATATAAGTACCTGAAATAAATAATAAAATAAATACTATATAAGGCAATCTCTTAGAATGGACAGGAAGTGAAAGAGTATCAAAGAGTAGGAACTCTTCTTTCATTTGAATCATTCATGAGGGACTATTTTACTCAAATTTTAATCCTGTTACATTTTAAAGGTATTTATTGAAGATTTTTTTTTTTCTTTAGGAAAAACTGCCCAGCATTCATTGAGCTGTCACGAGGTCCCCAGAAAGACAAACTTATTGTCACACAGTGCAGCCCAAATCACAGTCATGTCATGGAAGATTCCAGCGATGCTCCTCCCGAGAAGAAGTTTAAGTCCTCGGCTGCTGTAGGATTGCCAGCACAGGTGGCAAACAACATATCTAAAAAGTTTCTGGAACCAAGCGATTTAAAAAGGCTTCTCCGCTTCCGCTCTGGTGCATTTGAAGACCGGACACAAGTTCTCGCGGAGCTGCAGTCCCTTTTCTTTTCAGATCCAGATGCAAAAGTCAAGCTGGTGTTTGTGGAGGATAAATTGCATGTGAAGAAAATCTTTCTAATGACCTCTGCTATGAGAGATCGAGCTCAGAATCATCCTGAAAATCTCTTCATTGATTTGTTTACAGAATTCAGCCCAAGTTTTAACTTGTATACCATTTTTTCTGAGGTGAAGGGAGAAGGATGGATCCCATGTGCTTACTGCATTGCTAAAAAACAGTTGGACGGTATCATTCCCTTCCTTACAGGTTTGCTTTGTGAGATTATTCCCACATTAACTAAAAAGGTAAAACATTTAACCATCAACCCTGATATTCTAGAACCAGTTAACCTGGAAAGCCGTTTACCACATGCCCATGTGAGATACTGTATGCAGGCAGTTTTAAATCTCTTGTACAGTCGTATATCCTACTTGGATACTAGGTCTGAGGCCCAGATCAAGAACTTCCTTCATATCATTTCTCAGACATGTTCAGTTAAGGTCTATGACCGATATCTGAATGACCTGAAGGCTATTTGTCCAGCAGAGGTGTTTAAATATTACCATGACACATGGCACCCTCGCAGAAAAATGTGGGTAAAGAAGGATAACAGGACTGAAGAGTCTGAGCGGCATTTATATGATTTAGTTTCTGCGAATCATGCAAAGCTTAAAGCCGAAGTGGGCTTTATGCCCTCATTGTATCAATGTCTGTGTTCTGTACTTGGCAGCACAGTGAAGAGCTCAGCTGATGGGCTACACCTTCAGAATGCTGACATCACATCGTTCTGTGATTATGAAAAGTCTGCTCCTTCACCTACATCAAATCAGGTAAATTTCTAATAGATGTGCTGCATATTATTATCTTACTAGATGTCTGTTTATCCCGAAACTCTGGAAATTACCACCATCCAGCTGTTACTCAAGTTGTGCAGGTTTTTTTTTTTTTTCCAAGCAGATCTAAAAGTCACTTTTTAGGCATCTCTGTAATCACTGATCCATCTTCACCATGCAGAATGATCTACAGCTGCCTGCTGAGTTTGGATGTGCTTTTTAATTTTTTTTTGCTGGAAATACATATGCTTTAGCACCTTTTAAAACCCCTTCTTTGGTTTCTATATCTGTCTGGCTGATGTTTGTATTCAACATTTAATTCGAAAACTCAGGTTTATGTTTTCAACAATTTAAAAATTGTCTATCATATTTAATGTCCATGCAGATGTGCAACTGACCCGGGCCTATGGCCTTAATCACACAGTTAGGTACTCTTGTGCCTGTGACCAAACCCAATGCCCACTTTTACTGCTGGTGTTTATTGAGGTATATTTCAGATTACTAAAGGCTGTAAGCTTAGAGTGGAACTTTCTGTCCCATAGTCAAAACAGAATGTAAGGGGAAACCCTCCAAAGTTAGGAAATCACTGGTTGTCACCAGGGTCACCAAAACTAGTGTCCCCATTTGAAGACTTCTACTTTATTCCTGTTCTGGAAACAACCCAAAATTTGGAAAATCTTTCACTTTCAATGATAAAGGTAAACAGGACAAATGGTGAAGGTGAATCTCCCTACCAGGGGCACATACAGCAATAAAAACCTGACAAGTGTTATCCTCCCTCCACTCTATCCAAAAAAGAAATATGTTTTACTTGGCATTATAGTTGGCTGTCCTGGCTTGATATAAACTTATATATTTTGTTACCTATACCACATGCAGTGGTCAGAGCTAAGGAATGTAGCTGAGAGCAGGGCTCAACAGATCCCAGGCACCAGGTCTCCATGTCAACATAAACTTGCATCCTGGTGCCTGGGTTCACACACTGCCTTCCACTGACCTCAATGCAAAATCGCATCCTGTCAGTAGCAATCCAATGTTAATACTTATCTCTGCATGCCACTCTATCACTTGCGTGTCTGGAACACGCCGCTACAAACTCACACAGGACCTTTATCGCAATGGCATTCGAAACACAATGCGTGTGGATTTCACCTGTGTGAACCACCTCAATAGGAACACATAACATCTAGCCTGTCGTGCGCATTTGTAAGTTTGGAAACATATCCGGAATCATATATGTGTAAACCAGGGCAACTCTATTCACACCTGGGCGTTTTGGGATCACGGCAGAATTGCTGCGAGTACAAAATGCAGGTTTAGGTGCCATTATTTTCAATGGCACCTAAAACGTGTGATTTTGCCGTGATTGTCACATGGCAATTCGCATCACGTGAAGCTTGTTGCCCAAAAGTTGCCTTGCCCCAGGCGCTGACAACCCACATTACGCTAAAAAAAAAAAACTTGCTCCTAACTTTTTTTAGCTGACACCTAGATTCAAAGCAAATTTGGCAAGCGCTGTCTGAGAGGTTGTTTCTTGGAGTCACGTGACCTTCAATATCCTATGCACTGAAATAAATATCTCTCAGCACATTGTCACTGTCCTCACGGTGAAAGATGCAGATCAGGCCACAGAAGTGGTAACATGTTAAATCGTTCACAGTTCACCCACTGCAGGAGTACAGGCTAAGCTTTCATGTATAAGTGTGTGTAAAGCTGGATATCCGTTTGGAAGAGGACAGGTGCTAGACCAGCAGAGGATGCTGCACTGAAACTTTAAAAGGGCAAATATCATGCAGTCAACTTTTTCCATTTATAAAGGAGAAAGTTTAATAAATAAACTGTGGTTGGGCTTTAAGGGCTTGTTCACACATCTGTGGAGACCTGCGTTTTTCAAGTGCGATTGAAAAACACAGATCTCTGCAAAGAGAAATCTGAAAACCATTGTTTTTTATGTTTTCTGTCCACACCACAACAGAGCTGTCAGGGGAAGAGGGGTGGGGGCTGAAAAATGCACCATGTTTCTTTAAAAGCTTCTTCTGTTTTTCTTCTAGTTACAGCTGGTCCCATATAACTGCCAAAGCTTTCCTGTTTTAAGGTGGCTACATTTCCTTGCAGGGTCCTTTAGAGCCACCCCTGTATGTGTACTCCGGGATGTAACTTGAGTCAAGTGTCCCTATACTGTGTGTATCAATACAAAGAAACCTCCTCTAAGCCTAAGATAACAAGTCACTCCTCTTCTCCTCCCATTCTCTGTCCCTGCTCCTCCATCCTCCAAATCTAATACATTGACAGCTGCTTGAGGCTGTGCTGTCCCATTTCCTCTTCTTGTGAACTACTCTCTGCTGAGAAAGCTGGAGCCTGCAGCTTTGGAAGTTCTAAACTGTTAAGTGATTAGACAAAAATATTAGGAAGTGGTTTCCTGAGGAATGTGTGTGTGAGAAGTTAATACGACTTTAACCATGCCTTGCTCTACCAAAAACTTCATTTAGGGAAAAAAACGTTGTACTTATGGCAGTGTAATGTGTATGAGTTCACCATACATGTTACCATCTGATTTAGATTTACCAAGACTAGGAGGATCTTCCTAAACTGTAAGCAATATGTATCCAGCCAGACAGGCCCTGGAGCCACATAGTTAATCTCAATACGATTGTATAGCCAGAATGAAAGTATGTGGTGAGCTTTATAGCGTATCTGCTATTTTACAAAATGCCTATATTTGTTTAAAGCTTTCTTGTTGTGTGTGCATTTTTTTTAAAGGGACAAGATGCTCCTGTGTTGACATCCATTAATGAAGGAACTCTCCATACAACTGCTTCTTCAGAAAATTCTACAGATGAGGTATTGTGGATTGTTGTTTACTCTAAATACACCAATTAAGTAATCAAATAAATTATTACAACTCAAACTACAAATGTGCTTTTGTGTTTTGTACTGCGCTAGTAAGATGACACTGGAACTGATTAGTGGTGTCTCCCTGCTCAGAACTCCCTTTTAACAACTCCAACAAAGGGCTTTAAGGCTACCACTGTTCAGAGCTGACTTGCTTTCTGTGACATAACAAAGCCTGACCTCACAAAACACATTCACCCCAATGAGTGTTGAATTTCTAGCAAAGCTCATTGCAGTGAACTTGTTTTGTGACAACCTCATCATTATTCAGTAGAGATATAGTGTCCAGCCAGTAGATGGCAATGTTAATAAGTTTATAGCTGCATCTATGGTATACTCTCTTTTCTCTGACTAAAGTTTTCTGCTTCATTGAAACAAGGAAACAGGAAATTTTCTTCAGAGAGAGTATACCATAGATGCAGCTAGAAACTTGTAAACACTGCCATCTACTGGTTGAACAATTCTTTACTGAATAAATGATGAGGATGTCACAAAACATGTTCACTCCAATGAGTTTTGTTAGAAATTCAAAACGCAAGTTTGTAGCTGCATCTATAGTATACTCTTTTCTCTGAATACAATTTCCTTTTTCCTTGTTGCAGTGAAGCAGAAAACTTTAGTCACAGAAAAGACAGAGTATACCACAGCCGCAGCTATAAACTTATAAACACTGCTATCTACTGGTTGAATACTATATCTCTACTGAATACTGGTATAGTTGTTGCACAGAATACACGAACACTGTATTCCAATAGGTTTCCAATACCAAAGCAGTGGATTAAAGAGGAACTGTGGGCAGAATAAAAAAAATAACATATATGATGCTAATTGTCAGTAGCCTTCATACAGGATTGTTTTTGTTTTTCTGTGTTCCCTCTGTAGCATAGTGATATTACCTGTTGATCCGACCAGCAAGCCTATTGATAGTCACTTATGTAAAGGCCATTTAAGTCCACTAGTCCATCTAACACAGCCCTCTCCACAGGTTTGCAATGCTGCTTTCCAAGGGTGGCTAAGTTGCTGCTTCATAGATAGTGGAGCAGTGAGTGAAACTGCCCTAAGACATTCAATGTGTTGCTGGCTGAATCATCAGGTTAAAATAAAACGGGCAGGAGATGAAGGGGTGGGTGGGAGTTTTTAAAAAGACAAATGTAGCCACCACATCTATGGATTGGTAACCATATTATATTAAATTTTGTGTTTGTGGTTAAGATGCCCTTTTTAAAGGCCACAAATATCAAGCTTCCTTCTTCATAGTGAGCAACATACTATATATACGGTGTGTTACTATTACTATCAAGCAAATTAAAACTGTAGTTGAACGGACAGTGTTCTGAATTGGCAGCTCTATGGAACCTTTATTTTGGTATAGAGGATTGTGTAGATACATAATTAAGCATGTAGTGCCAGAGTGTCAAAGTACATAATTCAGACTGAGATTACACTGAACAAGCTGAAGTCCAGCTGGTCCAGTCTACTTTTTATATTTTGATTTAATAATTTGAATGTTTCCTTCAAGAGAAACATTGTATTTTCCATTCTTAAGCTATTAAGTTAACCTAAAAATCTTTTATGTAACTTTAACATTTTTACTTGCTTTCATTGATATTTTATTTTAAGCGTACATTGAGAAAGCACAGTACAAGTTGCTAGCAATAAAATGCAGGTGACCCCAGTGGGAGCAGTCACATAATTGCTTTCCTAATGAGCTGAAACACCTTAAAGTGACAATAAATTACGTATTGGGAGTATCCCTACTCCTGAGGCATTGGTGTGTAGAGTGGAGATAGTCAGTAGGCAGATGAATGAAATGGAGGGAACAGGGTTATGTTCTGGCCAGCTTGTCCTCCCATGGTAAGTGGTAGAAAAGGCAAAGAGGAGGAGTGAAAAATGAAAAGGAAGAAAGCTAAGGTCTGGGAAGGGGCACCAGGGGCAAGTAAGGAAGGGCGGTGGAACCAGTGATGGATCCCTACAGCCAATAACATTGAGGCTGGTGAGTTATCTGTCAGAGGTCTGATAACATGCGCACAAAGTAGGCTTAGAAGATGATGGTCAATCCAGAGTTCTCAGACCTGTTTAAATTTGGAGATGGCGTTGCAGCCATTTTTTTCATTAGGGAAGAACCAATTCATTTTCTGCTTCACTTGGGTCACTGTGGGCGTGGTAGCGACCTGCAGTAAATAAAAATGGGTGAAGACAAAATATGATGTTTGTGCAGGTTACTGGTTTTAAATTCAGTAAAGCTTATTTGGGGTTTTTTACTCGGTCATATCTTTACTGTGCTCATTTCATACTGAAATTGTAGATTTATTCTCTAGCAGCTATGTGTATGTCAGACACACCAAGCAGTATCTTTACTGTACAACTGTGAGGAGTTAATTGCGGGATAAACCATAGTATTGTGTTCAGTAAAACATGTGGTTCCTTTTTAGAGCTAAAAGTTTAGTGTGGGGCTTTTATGGCAAAAAAGTGGAAAGATAAATACACAATGCCTAACCAATCTCTATAATGTACACTTAAACATCTAACTGTCCCTCTTTTAAGCCCTAAACACGAAGTTGAACCCTTAAAGTGATATTAAAGGCCTTTTTTTTTTTAATAACAAACATGTCATATTTACCTGCTCTGTGCAGTGCTCATGTTTTTGTTATTTTTGTAAAAAAAAAATTAAACCTTTAGAATCACTTTAAAATGACCTAACCTACCTCCAATATTACTCTAAACCTTTAGCCCTGGTTGACACCAGTGTCACTTGTCATGTGATTTTACAGTTTCAAATCGTATGACAAGTCGCGTCCCATTACCAGCAATGGAACCGTTCATTTCACCACGGCTCATGTCTCGGTGATTATGAAAAAGGTTCCTGCACTAGACGTCTGTTAAATGAAGTCGCGAGCTGCAATCAGATCGGCAGTGCAAATCACACTGATCTGCAGCTTTGAAATTTCGCTAAAGTAGCACGATTTCAAAGATGCACTGGAGTGAACGAGGGCTAAACCTAAAAGTTGAGCTAAATACCCTTACTTCTGACCCGAATGCGTAGTTTTTGAAGACAATAATTTCATCCTGTGCCAAGCTAAGTGTGAACCACATACCTGGTATTAAATGCTGGATAAAACAATGTGGAATTTGAGCTAATGTTTTTCTAATACAATTTCCTTTCACTAAAAGAATTCTTGGGAACTGATTGTATATAGAAGAGTTGTATGGTCAACCTTGGGCCAGATGTCTTCATCTTTATGCTTGTTGTCCTCAGATCCATTAGACCATTACTTTCAAAAATTTTCCACAAGTTTCACCCACAGTGTATATTGTGAAGTGTAGTGATTTGTGTTTCAGTAATGCAAGTTGGATGAGATACTACGTAACAAATTGTAATGAGCCTGGCCTAAAAAAAACTACCTCTGCTAAAGAGTTCCTGTAGAGTCCCTTCGGTCCTAAACCCAGGCTGTAAATAGAGGCTTGACTTCTTTTCAAATCAACCTGAAAGTATTGCTAATGGAAAAAACATTTCCATTTTGGAAAGAGTAAGGGATGTTTTTTTTTTTTTTTTTGCCATCTGTGTCCCATTGGGGAAATGTACCTTCACTTCCTGTACTGTAGCCAAAAAAAGAGGAAATGGGAGGGATTCCTTGGTTGTCCCTGGCACCATGGCACACTCAGGGGTTCTGCTGTCAAATGCCCCAAGTCTCAGTGGATAGTAAAAGATTTTTAATGACAAAGTCAAGCTCACCTCTAGATGTTAGTATCTGAGACACCATTAGCTCTTTTCTTAACGAAATGTTCTTCTAAAGAGCAGCATGGTGTGCTGGTGGCCTGGTAAGTTCTCCATACGTTACAATCTTGCTGTGAATCTCCAGTAGACCTACCAACAACTAAGTAGCGCAAGGGCCTGCTTGCTTGGATAGTTTAAGTAGGTCCCTATGTTATATAGTTTTGGTAAATCTAAGGAGATTGTGCAAAGACTGGCCGGTGAGATTTGTAATGTGTATGGTGAACTTTAGACACATCTTGATTGTTGGCAGAAACGACTTTGGTACATACTGTGTTTATGGGATTCTCACTGATGTCACTTCCTGTTAGTATACTAGAAGTCTGAGTGTCCCAGCACTCAGCTGTGTTACTTATTCAGCCAAACCTGAAAAGAGAAGTAAGCTCCAGTTTGGCTGCTTCAGCTGAATAGAAGTCTTCATTCTGCTCTAGACCTCACCACACTTTTGTGAATGTTCACAAAAGCAGCCAAAGAAAGGTTTCCCAGTTACGCTTCCATGATATGGGCCTGGCACTGTCTTATCTGTTACCAGATTACATTACAGCTGCCAAGGCTTTGAAGCTTTAGATCAGATGATTGGTGCAAAGTTCCATTTTATGTTCCATCCTTGGGTCTCCTTAAAAGTAGATGTCAAAGCACTGTTCCCTTCATATATCTGGGGAGAATGTTTATAGCAATGAGAAGTGCTTGCATTTCACTTTTAGTCACACACCTATTGGGTTGGAGACGGCATCTCCCATTGCTTCTTGCTAATGTTGCTGTTTCAGGAGGTGGAGCATGGGAGACAACGCAGTTCCCTGTACCACTTGGTAATCCATGGCTGCGATACTGAGTGTTGCTCTCTTAGCAATGGTGGGCAGGTCCAAGTTGTGGTGACATCTTTGCCATAAGAGTGCAGGTAGTGTGATGACTTTGTTGTGCAGCCCAGCACAGGTGCACTTGAGGGATTGTTCACAGCAGATGCTCTCAGATGCATTTAAGCGCATCTTGAACACATGCACTATAAAATTGTTTTCCGGTCACCCTAGTTCACACCACTGCGTTCAGTTCCAATGCTTTAAGAAAAAAAAAAGTATAGCACATTGCATTGTTTTTCACCAAGACCCATGTGAATTCACCAGATTGCACATAAACAGGAGGGGGAGGAAATAATCGGTAACTTCTAATTTGGCTCCTC